TAGTGGAAAGAGAAATCAGGAAAAGAATTCTATTCACAGTTCCATGAAAAAGAATAAAATACCTAGGAATAAACCGAACCAAGTAGGTGAAAGACCTATACCATGAAAACTACAAGACACTCATGAAAGAAATTAAAGAAGACACCAATACATGTAAATAAATCCATGCTCATGGACAGGAAGAATTAAGATTGTCAAAATGGCCATCCTGCCCAAACTAATCTAAAGATTCAATGCAATTCCTATCAAAATACCAACAGCATTCTTCAATGAACTAGAGAAAATTGTTCTAAAATTCATATGGAACCACAAGAGACACCGAATAGCCAAAGCAATCCTGAGAAGGAAGAAGAAAGTGGGAGCATTATGCTCCCAAACTTCAAGCTCCACTAAAAAGCCACAGTAATCAAGACAATTTGGTACTGGAATAAGAACAGACCCATAGACCAATGGAACAGAAGAGAGAGCCCAGATATAAACCCAAGCATATATGGTCAATTAATATGTGATAAGTGAGCCATGTAAATTCAATGGGAAAATGACAGCCTCTTTGACAATTGGTGTTGGGAAAATAGGACAGCTACATGCAAGAGAATGATACTAGATTATTGTCTAAACTCATGCACAAAAGTAAATTCGAAATAGATCAAAGACCGGAATGTAGGTAATGAAACTGTAAAACTCTTAGAAGAAAATATAGGCAATAATCTCTTGAATATAAACATGAGCACCTTTTTCCTGAACGCATCTCTTAGGGTAAGGGAAAGAAAATACAAAATGAACAAATGGGACTACATCATGCTAAAGAGCTTCTGTACAGCAAAGGACACCATCAGAAGAACAAACAGGCATCCTACATTATGGAAGAGAATATATTTGTAAATGACACATCCGACAAGGGGTTAGCATCCAAAATACATATAGAACTCACACGCCTCAATACACAAAAAGCAAATAACCCTATTAAAAATTGGCAGAGGATTTGAACAGACACTTCTCCAAAGAAGAAATTCAGATGGCCAACAGTCACATGAAAAGATGCTCCACACCACTAATTATCAGGGAAATGCAAATTAAAACCACAATGAGATATCATCTCACACCAGTTAGGATGGTCAAGATAGAAAAGACTAGGAACAACAAATGCTGGTGAGGATGCTGAGAAAGGGTCCCCTGCTACATGGCTGGTGGGAATGTAAACTAGTTCAACCACTGTGGAAAGCAGTATGGAGGTTCCTCAAAAAACTAAAAATAGAAATACCATTTGATCCAGGAATTCCACTCCTAGGAATTTGACCTAAGAAATCAGGATCCCAGTTTCAAAAAGACATATGCACCCCTATGTTTATCACAGCACTATTTACAATAGCCAACATATGGAAGCAACCTAAGTGTCCATCAGTAGGTGAATGAATAAACAAGATGTGGTACATGTACACAATGGAGTATTATTCAGCTATAAGAAGAAAACAAATCCTACCATTTGCAACAACATGGATGGAGCTAGAGGGTATTATGCTCAGTGAAATAAGCCAGGCAGAGAAAGACAAGTATCAAATGATTTCACTCATTGGTGGAGCATAAGAATAAAGCAAAAACTGAAGGAACAAAACAGTGGCAAACTCACAGAACCCAAGAATGGACTAAGAGTTACCAAAGGGCAAGGGACCAGGGAGTATGGGTGGGTAGGGAGGGATAAAGGGATTAAGGGTCATTAAGATTAACACACATAACATAGTGGGGGGGCACAGGGCAGAAAGTATATCACAAGACATGTAGTGACTCTAGAATTTTACTACGCTGATGGACAGTAACTGTAATGGGGTATGTGGTGGGGACCTGATAATGGGGGAATCTAGTAACCACAATGTTGCCCATGTGATTTTATGTTAATGATATTAAAATTTAAAAAAAATTTTTTAATGCAAAAAAAACCCACAATGAGATATCATCGCACACCAATTAGGATGGCCACCATCCAAAAGACAAAGAAAAACAAGTGGGGCAAGGATGCGGAGAAAGGGGAACCCTCCTACACTGTTGGTGGGAATATAAATTAGTGTAACCATGTGGAAAGCAATATGGAGGTTCCTCAGAAAACTAAAAATAGAAATACCATTTGAACCAGGAATTCCACTCCTAGGAACTTACCAAAAGAAAACAAGATCCTAGATTCAAAAGACATATGCACCCCTATGTTTATCGCAGCACTAGTTACAATAGCCAACATATGGAAGCAACCTAAGTCTCTATCAATGGATGAATGGTTAAATATGTGGTACATATACACAATAGAATATTATTCAGCCATAGGAAGAAAACAAATCTTACCATTTGCAACAACATGGATGGAGCTAGAGGGTATAATGCTCAGTGAATAAGCCAAGCAGAGAAAAGCAAGTATCAGATAATTTCACTCATATGTGGAGTATAACAACTCTGAAGGAACAAAAGAGCAGCAGACTCACAGACTCCATGAAAAGACTAGTGGTTATTAAAAGAAAGTGACATGGGGAGACTCATGGGGGGAGGGAAAAGGGGATTAAGGGGCATTATGATTTACACATGAAATGTAGTGGGGTCACGACAAAGGCAGTACAGTACAGTGAAGACAAATAGTGACTCTATAGCATCTTACCGCACTGATCACAGAGACTGCAATGGGGTGAGGGGGGGACTTGATAATATGGGTGAATGTAGGAACCACAATGTTGCTCATGTGAAACCTTCATAAGACTGTATACCAATCATACCTTAATAATATAATAATAATCACAACTGTTGAACCACCATTTTATAACTAGTAACCAATATAAGACTGAATATCGACTATACTTCAATAAAAAATGTCAACAAGAGTCAGTTTTGTTGAGCACCTTGCTGAAAAACCATGAAATTTTAGGAGATACAATAAGCATGATTTCATAAATTTTTAAATAATGTTCAAGTAGCTCAAGGGAAAGAGTGAAAAAAGCAGACAATGAAAATTAACAAGGCTAGATGGAAATAGTAAAATGGTATAATATGATGTACTGTATAATTTTTCACCTTTGTATATTTCCTAATGCATAGGAGAGTATTTATATATGGAGGGTAGCAAATCATATTTGCTAAGTTCGGTAAAGGAAGGATGAAATAACAGAAATAGATTACTAGTAATCAACAAAGTTACCTTGAAGAAATTCAGAATAACCTTTGGCTTCACCACCAAACTATCCTTAAATGATATAATCAATCACACACTGAGTATACATTGCAAGGACTTGCCTGGTTACCTGCCCTCTTCTCTTCCTCACTACCAACACCATTTGAACTCCTAATTACAAGCTCAGTCCTACAGTAGGCTCTAAGATCCAAACTTGACATTAGTTAGAGGAGATTCAAGAAGTACTGCTTCAAGTCTTAGAAGATTAGATACCTAGTTACTGCGTGTTCTGCTAATTGCAACCCAGTCTTCCTCCCTATGTCCATGTCCCACTCTTAAAAGTACCCTTATATCCCAGTTCCTGTAGGTTTGGAGCTATAGGTAGACCTTGCTCTTTCTAGTCTGTCTGCACATAACCCCAATTTCCTAAAGATTTGAATCTTGCCTCTGAGTCAAAATCTCTATGGTTGAAGACCTGTTCCCTGCTGATACACTTATGTGATGTCAATTACCTGTGTGCCTAACTTACAGAATATTTTCAACACTTGGATTTCCCTTATTGCCATGATCTGCTCCTATCAGCCTATTAGGATACCCTGAGTCAAAGGCAACTATATGTTGTTCATCCCTGTAACCTCAGAGACTAGCTCAGTTTCTCATACTGTGTTCTTTCTTGACTAGCTGATTAAATACCCTTCCTTGACCTGAGGTGCATTCATAACCACAACTAGCATGTCCAGCTCCAGGTCAAGGTACTTCTCAATCTGCGAGTCCCATGTAAATCAAAGAAGTTACTAAGGCTTTATGATCATCTTTACAGGTCTTGAAGTAAGCAGGAGAAAACTATTTTTCCGAAATACTTAATGGTATCTTGTGTAGAAATATAATGAATTAAGTAACAAAATCTGTGTGATAACCTTTTCAGGTCTTTATGTAAATAGTAGTCAACTATTTTTCTGAAATACTTAAATGCCAGCCTATGCATAAATAAGAGTTAGTTAACATTTTACCTTATCTTCTAGGACAATGACTTTATAACATACAAACTAACATGGTAAATATTCTTCCGAAAAAAAAACTGAAGTATTTAGTCAGATAAACAAACAACCCTTCAAATTAAACAAATCCTCAAAGAAAATGTCGGGAATTACAATCCTTAATCACCTCTTTTCCCATAAAATTTTCATTAAAAGGAACAAAAACCTTTATATTTTATCTGTGTCCACACTCCTTCTTCTTACTTATATTTCCAGCTTTTCTATTTCCATGAGCTAATCCCCACCACCCCCATTCTGTGCATACTATGATACACAAAGGAAGAAATGTCCAAATTGGTTTTGGAAGAATGAATGGCACTATACTTAAGTAAGTTTTTCCCTCTTTTACCTTCTAGAATTTTGTCCTGATGAGAAACCAATTGCTGAATGATTGGAAAGGCAATAGATAACCCAGAAAGTAAAAGAATGACCATTTCTTCCAAGTGCTTGCTCTCACTGAATTTTTGACCAAAACAATGTATACTTTAAATTCTGTCAGCTTCAAAGGACAGTACTGCAGATGGTTAGTAGCATATAATTTTGTTCAGGAGTCCCAATAATATTATTACCTTTCAGAACAGGGGGCAAAAAATAAGCAGTAAGCAATGGAATAAATTGTCCTCCAAATTCCCTTTTTTGGAAGTTCCACTCATTAATGCTTACAGTGTGCAAGTCAGGAAAATATCACTTTGAGTTTGTCCTTTAGGAAAGAACTCTCAGACATCATAACCTAACAGCCAAGAAGTCACACCACTGTATCTCTCTGCCACCGTGCAAAACAACATTTACTGTCTTTGAAAAGTAGAAAATCAACAGACCTTATCAAGTTGTTCCAAATGCAGGAAACAGGAAGCCATGTTCCTATGCAGCTTTGCCAATTCTGGATCCGCCTGATCATGTGCATAAAATCTCAGAGAATAATAGTACCAGTGTAGAGCATCGGCATAATTTTGAACCTAAAGTTTAAAAATAAATAACTAAATCACAAATATATCTTTACATTTGGTAATAATTTTTTGTTGAGTTATAAAGTGGCAGTCACTATTCTCTCTTCTTCCTTACATTAGAAATTTCACAGAAATCATCAACAAATTAAAAGGCAACATACAGACTGGGAGAAAATATTTGCAATCTACATATTAAAAGGGGGTTAATATCCAAAATATACAAAGAACTCCTAAAACTCAACAGCAAAAAAAAAAGTTTTAAAAATGGGAAAAGGATCTGAATACACATTTTTCCAAAGACATAAAAATCGCAACAGGTACATGAAAATGTACTCAACATTACTAATTATCAGGGAAATACAAATCAAAATCACAAGGATGAATTACCTCACCCCTGTTAGAATGACAAATCATCAGAAAGACAAGAGATAAATTTTCTGAGGATAGGCAGAAATGGCAAACTTGTACACAGTCAGTAGGAATGTATACTGGGAAGGCCACTATGAAAAACAATGTGCAGGTTTCTCAAGCAATTAAAAATAAAACTACAAAATGATGAGCAATCCCACATCTGGGTATATGTCCAAAGCAAATGAAATCAATATGTCAAACAGATATTTGTTCTCCCATGTTAACTTCAGCATTATTCATAATAGCCAATGTACGGAAAAACCTAAGTGTTCATTAACTAATGAATGGATAAAAAAAATAATAAAGATCAGAGAAGAAATAAAACTGAGAAGAATAAAATAGAAAAAATCAATAAAATCAAGAGTTGTTTTTTTGAGAAAATAAACAAAAGAGATAAACCGCTAGCCAGACTTATTAAGAGAAAAAGAGAATCTACACACATCAACAGAAACAGAAATGGGAATGGAAAAATCACAACGGACCCCACAGAAATACAAAGAATTATTAGAGAATACTATGAAAATTTATATGCTAACAGGAAAACCTAGAAGAAATGGACAACTTCCTAGAAAAATACACCCTTCCAAGACTGACCAAGGAAGAAACAGAAAATCTAAACAGACCAATTACCAGCAAAGAAATTGAATTGGTAATCGAAAAACTACCCAAGAAAAAAACCACCAGGCCAGATGGATTCAACTTTGAATTTTATCAGACATATAGAGAAGACATAATACCCATTCTCTTTAAAGTTTTCCATAAAATAGAAGAGGAGGGACTACTACAAAACTCATTCTATGAAGCCAACATCACTCCAATATCAAAAACAGGCAAAGAACCCACAAAAAAAGAAAACTACAGACCAATATCCCCGATGAACATAGATGCAAAAACACACAGCAAAATATTAGCAAACCGAATTCAAAAATACATCAAGAGGATCATACACCATGACCAAGTGGGATTCATCCCAGGGATGCAAGGATGGTACAACATTCAAAAATCAATAAATATGAGAGATGCCCTCTCAAAAAAATAATAATTGCAAATGAAAAGTCGAACAAATTGTCAACCTCAGCAATAATTAAAGAAATGAAAAGCAATAAAAAAATCAATCAACATCACCCACCACATCAACAAAAAGGACAAAAAACACATGATCATCTCCATAGATGCTGAAAAAGCATTAGACAAAATTCAATATCCATTCATGATAAAAACTCACAACAAAATGGGTATAGAGGGCAAGTACCTCAACATAATAAAGGCCATATATGACAAACCCACAGCCAACATCATACTTAACAGCAAGAAGCTGAAAGCTTTTCCTCTGAGATCGGGAACAAGACAAGGATGCCCACTCTCCCCACTGTTATTCAACGTAGTACTAGAGGGCCCATCCAGGGAAATCAGACAAAACAAGAAATACAAGGAATCCAGATTGAGAAAGACGAAGTCAAACTGTCATTATTTGCAGATGACATGATATTGTACATAAAAAACACCCTAGACTCCACTCCAAAACTACTAGAACAAATATCTGAATACAGGAAAGTTTCAGGTACAAAATTAACACACAGAAGTCTGTGGCATTCCTATATACTAATGAGGAACTAGCAGAAAGAGAAATCAGGGAAACAAATCCATTCACAATTGCATCAAAAAGAATAAAATACCTAGGAATAAACCTAACCAAGGAAGTGAAAGACCTATACCCTGAAAACTACAAGACACTCTTAAGAGAAATTAAAGAAGACACTAATAAATGGAAACTCATCCCATGCTCTTGGCTAGGAAGGATTAATATTGTCAAAATGGACAGCCTGCCTAAGGCAATATACAGATTCAATGCAATCCCTACCAAAATACCAACAGCATTCTTTAACAAACTGGAACAAATAGTTTTAAAATTAATATGGAACCACAAACCTCAAATAGTCAAAGCAATCCTGAGAAGGAAGAATAAAGCAGGGGGATCTCGCTTCCCAATGTCAAGCTGTACTATAAAGACACAGTAATTAAGACAGTTTGGTACTGGCACAAGAACTGACCAACTGACCAGTGGAACAGAATAGAAAGTCCACATATTAACCCAAACATATATGGTCAGTTAATATACGATAAAGGAGCCATGGATATACAATGGGGAAATGACAGCCTCTTCAACAGCTGGTGTTACCAAACTGGACAGCTACATGTAAGTGAATGAAACTGGATCATTCTCTAACTGCATACACAAAAGTAAATTCATAATGGATCAAAGACCTGAATGTAAGTCATGAATCATAAAACTCTTAGAAAAAAACATAGGCAAAAATCTCTTAGACATAAACATGAGCAACTTCTTCAGGAACATATCTCCCTGGGCAAGGAATTAAAAGCAAAAATGAACAAGTGGGACTATATCAAGCTGAAAAGCTTCTGTACAGCAAAGGACACAACCAACAGAACAAAAAGGCATCCTAGAGTATGGGAGAATATATCCATAATGACAGATATGATAAAGGGTTGACATCCAAAATATATAAAGAGCTCACCCACCTCAACAAGCAAAAAGCAAATAATCCAATTAAAAAATGGGCACAGGATCTGAACAGACACTTCTCCAAAGAAGAAATTCAGATGGCCAGCAGACACATGAAAAGATACTCCACATCGCTTGTCATCAGAGAAATGCAAATTAAAACTACAATGAGATATGACCTCACACCAGTAAGGATCGCCACCATCCAAAAGACAAACAACAACATATGTTGGAGAGGTTGTGGAGAAAGGGGAACCCTCCTACACTGCTGGTGGGAATGTAAATTAGTTCAACCATTGTGGAAAGCAGTATGGAGGTTCCTCAAAAAACTCAAAATAGAAACACCATTTGACCCAGGAATTCCACTCCTAGGAATTTACCCAAAGACTACAGCAGCCCAGTTTGAAAAAGACATATGCACCCCTATGTTTATTGCAGCACTATTTACAATAGCCAAGAAATGGAAGCAACTTAAGTGTCTATCAGTAGATGAATGAATAAAGAAGATGTGGTACACTTACACAATGGAATATTATTCAGCCATAAGACGAAAAAAAATCCTACCATTTGCAATAACATAGATGGAGATAGAGGGTATTATGCTCCGTGAAGTAATCCAGGTGGAGAAAAACAAGTATCAAATGATTTCACTCATCTGTGAAGTATAACAACAAAGAAAAAAACTGAAGGAACAAAACAGCAGCAGACTCACAGAACCCAAGAATGGACTAACAGTTACCAAAGGGAATGAACGGGACTGGGGAGGATGGGTGGGAAGGGACAGATAAGTGGGGGTGAAAGGGGGCACCATGATAAGCAGGTATAGTGTGGGGGAGTGACAGGGAGGGCTGTACAACACAAAGAAGGCAAGTAATGATTCTACAGCATCTTACTACGCTGATGGACAGTGACTGTATTGGGGTATCTGGGGGGGACTTGGTGATGGGGGAGCCTAGTAAACATAGGGTTCCTCATGATATTGTAGATTAATGATACCAAAAAAAGTGGCTTTTGATTTCCTGAAAAAAAAGGTATGTGTATTCACTGGAATATTATTCTACCATAAAAAAGAGGGACATCCTGTGACAACATGAATGGAATTGGAGGACATTTTCCTAACTGATGTAAGCCAGGCAGACAAAGACAAATACTGTATGGTATATCACTTACACATGGAACCTGAAAAATAAAAAGTTAAACTCATAAAAACAGAGAATACTATGGCATTGCCATGGGCCGGGAGGGTGGGAGAAATGGGAAGGGGTTACAAAAAACACAGAAAAGAAAACAAACTTGCATTATAAGATGAAAAATATCGAGGATCTAATGTATAACATGGTGACTATATTTGAGAAAACTGGATTTGTTGCCAAGAGAGTAAAACTGTTCTCACCAAAAAAAGTGATGGATATTAATTAAAACAATTCTTAGAACTCTTTCACAATTTATATGTATACCAAATCAAATAATTATGTTATGCACCACTTTAATTATAATTTTTGTCAATTATAGCTCAATAAAGCCGGGAAAAAATATAAATTTCACATGTGGGATGAAGAGTCTGAAAGGGTATTAAACCATCTTAGAACACTCAAAATACAATTTAAAAGTTATTAAAACAACGACAAAATTTTTAAAGAGAACATCAACAATTCACTATGTGAATACAGCTATTTTGATTTATTCTTTCAATTTTAACTTTCTCATTTTGTATTTTTATATAGTTGTAATCATAGTTTTTATTTGAAATTCATATTCTTTCCATTTTTAATTCTGTTTTGTAAATATTCGTCTATATTGACATTGCTATGTAGTCTCACAGTTGCCAATTTAAGGAACACATAACATCCAATTAAGTTTATTTATGATGATATTCTTAATGTTCGAAAGTTAGTTATTTCGAGGTTTTCACTATTTATTTCACAATAATTAAATGCTTCTTTGATTTTATTAAAAATGTGTTTTCACTTTTTAGGCACTTAAAATTTTTCAATGTTAAGAAGCTATTAGGAAAAATAAGAAAGAAATATCCTGGATAAGTTCTTTCAAGCTAAGAAAACCCAGATTGCTCATG